TTCAGCCAAGACAACTCCCCCATGCATCTTCTTCTGGACCGTCACATGCATACACACCAGCTCTACATTCAAATGAATTTGGGGAAAACTGTAAACTATACCATTTGAAGATCTGCAATAATACTGGTATCTAAACTTGTTCAATCACAGAATTTTATTTCCAATGAATGTTTTAAACAGCATTGGAACTAGCTTCAAGACAACAGTTCTAAAAGAGACTTCTTGAAGCCCATTATACAGTAACATATGACAGCAAAGGAATTAACTTTACAAATTATTAATTTAATTTCAATTTTATTTTCCTTAAAACACTTTGCAATTGTCTTAAAACACTAAAGAGACATTTTTATAAAGGTCTTCATTATAATTTTTTACTTTTTCTTCTATGGGAAAATACGTGGTTTGGAGTTTTAAAAATTATTTTATTTTTCATTTATTCATTTATTTTATTTTTATGTAGTGCTAAGAATCGAACCCAGTGCCTCACATGTGCTAGGCAAGCACTCTACCAATGAGCTACAACCCCAGACCATGCTTTGGATTTTTATTTTGTAAATTTCTGATCATAAGGTACACACAATTTTATACCATTTGATAATTATGTTATAATCACAGTTTCACACCACTACCTTTTAAAAATATTATTTTTCATAGCTGCATAATATTCTACCTTTAAACTAAACTATCACTGATTTAACCCTTGTTCACACTGTAGTAGTCAATCTACTTAACCTAATTAGTCCCATAGTCCTTATGTGGAACACCTATAAAAGCTTAAATTAAGCAACAAATATACTTCTTACAGTAACTTTTGAAATAAGTATTACATTTTTATAGTTCTATTCTCTTGAAAAATAGGTGAATAATTATAGCATATGGAAATATACATTTGCATTTCATATGTATATGAAAATATATAAAAAGATACATTAAGCTCTAGGTTATCATTTATTTTAATGCATTTATGTCAATTTTGTTTAAACATTTGCAGAATTGAAAGCTTGGACTTAATAGGCTATGTTTATCCTATTACATTTAATTATAAAATAAATAACTGATACATCAATTTTGGACCTTAGCTCTAATATTTCCTCAGGCTAGATTTATAGTCAAGGAATTATGGAAGGTAAGCCTCTTGATTATATATTCTGAATGTGTTTTCCAGAAAGTTATATCAATTCACATTCTCATCAGCAGCATAGAAATGCCTGCGCCACTACCAATACTTATTGTGGTAAGATAAAAAAAACAAAAAAGGAATTCTCACTGATATATAGTAAATTTTCTCAGAAACACATTGGTCATTTTGTAAATCTTTTTTGAATTATATATTCAAATCCATTTCCATTTTCCTAATGCAGTTAGTATTGATTATTATACTATATGGGTTCTTTACATTTATGACAATGTCAAATGTTTTCTTAAAAAAGAATCTAGTTCTCTTTCCTTCTATAATTTTTTCATTGTTTTTCTGATTAGGAAAGTCCTGTATCTAAAAATCAACAGTAACTACTCATTTACGTCTCTTCTTTTTTTTCCTTCTTTTAAAAAATATTTTATTTCCCCATTTTTATATTTAATTCAGTTTGGAATGTGAAGTATACTACTTTGTCATGATAAAAACTATTTTCCTCCTCAAGCTACTTAATTAACCCAGCATAACTTATTCAACAAACAATCTTCCAACAATACAAGTTTTCTACTCCATAAAATTAAAAAAAAAAAATTAGATATGCTGGCAGTGAACCACTCACTGTAATACAGAATGCTAAACAAGGTCACTGTGTTTCAGGTGTATCAAGTGGCTATTTGGATAACAAATGTCAAGTACTCAGTGCTTTTGTGATTTTTCTGTAACTAGAATGAAAATACATCTGTAAGAGAAAAATCTATGACTCTGTTAAAAAGAAAGGTGAGATGATGAAATTAGTTGAGTACCAACTCCACTTGTCTGTCACAGCAGTTTTACATTATAAGAATTTGAAACAACCCCAAAGTAGAAGCCAAATTTTTCCAATCAAACAACTAATTAGGCACAGCTAGAAACAAAACTCTCAGCTTCAAAATAATCTCAGAGATAGTCTTCTCACCAAAAGTAATTAAGTCTTATAGTCTCTGATGTACAAAAACCTTTCTTTGTAAAGTAAAATAATTCTTTTAACTTCACTGTAATGTTTTAAAGATGACAAAACATAAAAATTACTTAAAGGTATAAGAAAATTTTAAGTTATTTCTATTGTCATTCAATATACTGTTCTGAGTTTTTTATAAGAAGTTTTTAAAAATAGGATTAAATGTATGAAAAGAAATTAACATTAATATCATATTACTTTCTGAAACCTTTCAAGGTAGTATGTGTCTGATTTCCCCCCATTACTAAATGGTTAAATATTACTTATTTTTAAGCATGAAAAATAAAAACTACTTAACATTAGCCTGGTGATAAACATTCTTCAGTAATGAAAAAGTCTCAGAAATTTACTCAAGCTTCCTTCTAATCAACAGAATGTTAGACTCTTCTGTAGCTTTATTCCAGGCCCTAGATTTGCTTCAAACTCACCTGGTCCATCAGAGGATGCTTTCACCTACTGATCTCCCGCACTCTTGACTCTGAGAGACAAATTACTCTAGGAAGTTCTACTTTTTTTTTTTTTTCTTTCTGAGAAAGACACCTGTACTTCTATTATTAATTACCTGCCTGACTACTGATGGGGACATATAATAAGCCTTTAGAAATAAAACTTCAAAAAGTATGTTCATCTGTCTGCATTTCCTTTCTCCGACTACATTTCACATAGATTTTTCTACATTCCCCATTCAAATATCCTGACTCAGGATACCTGATTTTTCTGACTTTCTATCACCCTTTAGTAATTTTTGACGTGGGGGAATGAAACAGGCTGTTCAAAATCTATGCCGAGAAGCTCTGTGTTGGCCTGCTTTTTCCATTATATTTCATGTCTAACTCAATAATGATTAAATCCTTGAGCATAGGAAGAACCATGAAAACTTTTTTAAAATACAGGCTCTGGGACTCTTCCTCCAGTTTTCAGGATTCTGCAGCCTGGGCATGCTTTAAATGATGATACTGGCTATCTACTGATAATATGTAATGCAGTTATTACAAAAATGGCCCCAATGCTGTACCTTTCCCTCTATCAATAACCTCTTGCAATGCGACTGCTATTCTCCAACAAGAGGGCAAATCTATTTCCCTTTCCTGTAAATCTGCTTAGATAACAAAACACTACAGAAATGACACTGTGCTATCCTAAGCTTTGATTGTTTCCACATTTTCCCTTGGAAACTTTATACTGTGTCCTTGTGAATGAGCCTAAACTAGTCTGCTGGATGAGGATGGATGCATGGCCCAATCACCAACATCAGAGGACAATCATTTATGTAAATAAGGCCATTCTAGATCAGCCAGTCCCCAACAGGTCACTGTAGACACTGTAGCTCACCAGCCAAGTTCAGGTAGCCTAGCCCAGCTGACCCACACATTCTTGAGCAAAATGATTCCTGTCTTAAACCACAAGTTTTGGGGTCATCTGTCCATCGTGATAGGTTACTGACACATAGTTCTAATTCTCTTTACTTGAGAAATACTGATTTATCTCTTCTACACTTCTCCTGTTACCTTCATGATCCAGGTTCTTATTTCTTGTTCAGACTATTAGGATGCGGTCTTCTAGTTTGACTACCTATTTGCTATTGTCCTCCACTTCCAGGCACACTTTTGTTGCTATGACTGTATTCCTTCAAGTAAGAAACTATATTGACTTGTGTTTTCTCACAATCAAGCATAATGCCTGGTACCCTGCAAGTGCTCAATCCTTGTTTGTAGAATGACTGCTGCTGGATTCATAAACAAAACACAACTCTGAACACAGCAGACTCTCACACAGAGCTCCATTGGTATTTATACCATATGCTGGTTCATTTTTCACTTGGCCTATTTAATTCTAGGACTTGTAGCCCTAGCCTAGCTTCCCACTCTTCTTCCTCCTTTCTCCTAATGCTGTGTTCAAAAGTGAGGGCTGGCTGAACACACCCTTTATTTCTGTGTCCATGATGTTGCTCAGATTCCTACTTAGAATGCCCTTCCAGGATTCTGCAAATTCTACAAATTCTTGAAGGTCGGGTTCAAAGGCCACCTCCTCTGTGAAAATCGGATAGCTCTCATTAAGAAAAAGCTCACCTGCTTCCTTTGCCTCTAGTACTCAGGATCTCACTGAGACAGGACCATCACTTGACATCATGGTTACTTGTACAGTGTATAAGCATCTGCCCTGCCAGACAGTGTGCACTTTTTCAGGGCAGGTTCCATTTTTAATCTATGTTAACACAGTACGCTACATAGACCATAATAAGACCTTCATAAATGCTTAGTGAATGAATGGGTACTTTCTAGTCACTACTAAAAACAAACAAACAAAAGTCAAACACAGAACAAAGATGTCAGAATGAATACAATGGTTCTCATATAGCAGTTTATAGAAGAAATCTTCCGGAAAATGTGTTAAAAGGTACAAATTCCTAGTCTCTGCTCCTAGAGAGATTGGTTCAGCAGAATTCAAACCTGAGTTTGTGTGGCTCCTGTGAGTTTGAGGGAGATCTATGGGAGACTTAAGGCAACTCCCTGTACACAGTGACATAGAGCTTGCTTTACAGATACAAATTCTAAAGTAACCCCTTTGTTCACGAACCTGAGAAATTTTTTAAGTTTCCCGACTTTAATGTCAAAGCGTTAAGTGCAGCAGGCCTATAAAAAGAACCACTTTAATAATATGTACACAGTCTGGCACCTTATTATCTTAGGTTGCTAGGAATATGGCATCACACCCCATTCTTTGTAATCACAATCTGCACACATTTTTTCATCTATATATCCTTTTTATAAACTATTTAAAGTTTAATTTTCTACAAATAGCCCTTTTTCAGGCCACCTGACCACGTGAAGTATGCTTCAAAATAACTGAAGGGCACAAGACTCTTACCTCGGTCCCAGAGGCTGGCTCTTAATGCTCTCTCCAGCTGTTCCTCTTCACTCAGTCCTGCTGTGTACGCATCATAGTTCCTAGGCACCTCAGTGTACCCTGGCCTGCCATAGGGATGATTCTGATATCCAGAGTAGCCTACAGGCACAACAAAAAGGTTATAGGATATAGCAACAGACTATTCTTTTGTTGCAGACGTCCTGATTTCTATAACCAAAGGCAAGCAAATAAACTAATGTCATTACCCTAAATGAGATAGGGTGACCAATGGTGAATGCCTCCACAAGGGTGAGGAATGACTGTCTCGTCTCTTTTACACCCACAGTGACCAATGTGGTCCCAGAGATGGAGATGTTAATTTAGAAGGTACTCAGAGGTCCTGGAGAAGGAACCAGAGAAATGGGCTGCTGACATACAGAGTAAACTCTTGCAGCTTAAAGTTATAGAGTCTTTCTGTGAAGCTCTGACTTGACTCAAGAGAATGGTGGAAAGAGTTAATAAGGCCTTACTGCCCTGTGGCTCACTAAGACGAGGGGCAGACCAATGTTTAGTATATACACCACAGAATGACCACGCTGGGCAGACTTTAGGAAGTGATAGCAAGATTACACTAGTCAGTTTCTCTGAAATTACAACTCTATGCCAGAGACTAGAGTTCCTATTAATAGCACTTTCAAAAAATTGGCTGCTAGATAAAATGAATGTACATTTATACAGTTGTACCATTATCACCACAACCAATTTTAAACATGTTTATCATCCCCAGAGAGAAATTTGTATACTTCAGCTAACATCTCTCAACCTCCTATCCCTCTCCTAGTTCTTCTAATTATTATAATACTCTTTTAGCTTGGTTTTCTTTTATACTAAATGTCCCTAAAGTAATAAAAATGAATCATATAAAGAAACCTTTAATAAAATTATTTAGCATTTTAGAGCTAATTCTGAAAAGCCTTGCACCTAATGCAATATAAATTTAGTGAGTATTTACTAAGTACTTCAAATAAGCCAATTTCCATTTCCTCTCATACATATTTCCCATGTCAACATGTTAATATTATTGATATTTAAAACAGGAGAAGGTGATAAGTAAATTTTCCAAATCCTTACAATGGCCTATCCAAAAAATGTTTACAATTTTGAAGACAAATATTCCTCCTCAATAGAACCATCAGAAAAATTTAGATTCCACTGATGTATTGGGGATAACCACCCCCTCAAACAAGTTTCATATCTTGAGAATAGAGGGGACTGAGACAATTACAAATCCTGTTTTCTACACTGTTCATACACAAAAAATAAGCCTTTCATAAGAGAACAAACAGCCAAACCAAAATTAATATATCTTCTTCACAAAGAACAAAAGAAAAGAGCAACCCCTTTGAAACACTACTAGAATATTTCTGGATAAGTCACCAAATACCATGGGATACTTCAACAATCTCTGAATAGAGAGACTGCCCAATTCTCTAAGAATGCCAATTATTCTACTGAAACACAAAAGGCATATTGGGTAATTTCCCATGTGGCTCATTATCACTTTCAAACCCCTGTGGAATGTCATTGTGTTATGGAAGGTCTAAGCAGCATTTCTACCTATCCAACCCCCAAAACACTCAGCTCATTCAAAATCCAAATAACCCAAAGCCTCCAAATACTCTGCATATAGACACTGCATATGTCTATGCAGTTTTAATTGCAGGTACATTAGCAGTGATTTTAGGCAACATTTTCTTGCTACAGAAAAACATTTTTCTTCATATTATCCTTATTTAAAAGCAACCTAGCAGTGCTTTAATGAAATAAACTAGCCAACTCTAAACATCTGAATATTATAAAACCTAATTTGGTACTTGTCAGACAGAATGTGGGGAGAGGGAATGGGAAAGTTTTGGTGGCTTAAGTCAAAAAAGACTCGTGTGGTTAAAAGTTCTATATCACTAGTCATAAATCATCAACAAGAGCAAAAATCCCATCAATATCTATTATGATGAGAACAGGTCTCCTAGGACCAAAAATTTTCTACAGCTGTTCTGCTGGCCCAATCAGATGTTTTTAAATCTTCATAATAAACATTCCTGAAAAACCTAACAATCAAACACTTAAGATCAATAAGTTTAAATTATATCCTACAATGAATTCTTATTTAATGTTCTTTTTTAGCTATATACTTTGGCTCTGTAGTAAAAGAAACTCTGATTATCATTATTATATTAACTACTCCATCTGTTCCTTATACACATACCAGGATTTCATGGCAAAGGAGATCAAGAAACACCACAAGATTAGAAAAATTGCTAACAGCTTTTTAAACATTCATGAGATTCTTTGACCTATAAAGACTTTCCCAGCAAAGGAGGGTCATATTAAGAATAAATCATTACTTGTAAGAGATACATATGCTTTCATAAAAGTTCCCCTGATGACCGTTAGCAAGGCCACCTGGCTTTCTGTAGCTCTGCCTCTGAAGAAATCCAGTCACTTCAGAGGAAGGAATATACATATGGCAATCTTACAGAGGATTAGAAAGAAAGGTAAAAGGAACTTGTATTTCTGCCTTGAATTCGCTGGCCTGTACACCTTCTGTGCCTATGTTTCTTCTCTATGAAAAAGAAAAAAAGTGAGTTTCTCTGTTGCTGTTTTGTTGTTGTTTTCTTAAATAATTGGAGTGTGTGAGAGGAGGAAGAAGAAGAAAAGAGAGTAAACACAATAAATGAAACTGCTCTATTTTATAAGACTAAATTGGCAGAGTGCCCATCAGCAGTGAGGAATCAGCGACTAGTATCTTTATCCTAGTTCTAACACTAAATACCTGCGTGAATTTGGCCAAATTACTTAACCTTTTTTAAGTCTCAATTTCCCAGCTGTCATGCAAGATGTGGTGACTACGCAATCCATCACAGTTTAAGACATGTCTGTACATTCAAGTACATTCTTTCTATTCTCCTTGCCCAGAATAACATTGCTATTTCTTAACTGAAAAACCTAAACCAGGAAAGAAGTGTAAAATACTTTCTAAAGTGCTCTCTCAAATAACCATAGTTACTAGCTTAGTCCATAACTACTTATCACACCTTGCCTCTTCAGGTGAGTCTACAGGTAGAGGCAGGTAAAGCTGGTATTGTCCAACCACCGTTCCTCTACATCCAGATTAAGTTTCTAGAATTTAAAGGAGCCAAATCAGCAGAGGTGAAGCCTCAGAAGTGAAAACTTCATGGGGCACAGACAGCATTCATTTCTGTAGTCCCCAAGCCTAGGGAACTCGACTCATCCAAGGCTATGATTTTTGTTTCTGATCTCATCAGAATAATCTGGGAACTTTTTTTAACGTCCCAGTTCTTACCTCTACCTCCTTTCTGATTTCATTGGTCCAGGAAGAATTTGAGGCACTCAAGGTATTATTAGGTTATAAAAGTGGCCTCAGATGATACTATACAGCCTGGATTCATAATCATGAGGTAAGTCTTGAGAACACATAGAAAAAAAAAAACAGCTTAACTAACTTCAATACTGTCACACACCGTTTTATTCCTTCAGTGCCTCTACAATACATTCTGGATAATCCCAAACAGGCCTTTTCAGATTCTGCCTTCTCTCCCTAGAAAGCCCTTTTCTTCCATTGCTATCCTTAACTTCTAGCCATCCATCAAGACCCAGTGTTCCATTTTCTCCCAATGACTTCCTGTAAAGCAATCCCATTAGTCCCTCCTCCTGGGCTGGACACTGACCCTCTAAGTTAATACAGCTGGATAGAGTGTCTGCTTCTTCCAAGAAGGAGCAACTGGACTAGGTCAGCTTTTCTGCCAAAATAAAGTAGAATACTAGAGAAAACATATTCCAAACACTGTATAGTACTAATACAGAATTTTGAATCTTGAGAAAAAGGCAAGAGTCTGGAGGCACTTCCCAGGCTGGAGTGAAGGGAGGGGAACAGAGCGGAATACAGTAGGCACCTTGAGCTGAGAAACACCCAGAAGATCTGGGGTAGGAACTAATTAGGAGATTAGAAAAAACAAAGACTAGCCTTATTAGCTATCATCCCATCATTCTCTACCACCCCATACCTAGATCAGTTCTCTACAACCTAATTCCTATTTCTGTGGTTTCATCTTTTCAAAGGTATGTCCGTGCCTACACTTCCACTCAAGATTATAAATTCTCTTAGACAGGCACTATTGCTCTTTTGTTCTCTCCCCCAGTGTCCAGGCTGGCACTCTGCACAACATGATGCTACTGGGTAAACCAGTCTCTGGCTAAGAACACTCGGGAAATAAAGCAAAACTTAAATATTTGTGATTTTATACATAAACGCATATACGCTCACAGACATGCAATAATTCTTTGTGCTAACCTTATTTAAGCCAGGGGTCAAAAAATTACAACGCAAGGTCCAAATCCAACCCACTGTCTATTTTTGTAGGTAAGTTTTTTACTGGAATACAATAGTGCTCATTTGTTTATAAATTGTCTATGTCTGCTTTCATGCTATAAGGACAGTTAACTAGCTGCAACAGAACCATATATCCAAAAGTCCTTAGAGCTATCTGGCCATTTGTAGAATTTGTAGAAAAGACTGCTGACCCCAAATTTAAGCTATAGTGGCTATCAATTGACATATATATTATGAATATATATTACAGCACTCCATTTGGGCTGCTATAACAAATAACCACAGTATGGGTGGCTTAAATAACAAATATCTGGAAGATATTTGGATGAGGGTATCCACATGGTCAGTTCTGGTGAGGGATGGTCCTCTTCCAGTGTCACATAATGCCAACCTCTCATTGTATCCACACACAACAGAAAAGGGGCTAGAAAGCTCTCTAGCATCCATTTTATATGGACACTAATCCCTAATTTCTTAACAAAGGTCTCACCCCCAAATACCATCACGTTAGGGGTTAGAATTTCACGATACAAATTTGGAGGGAGGCACATTCAGTCTATTGCATTAAAACACCCATTGGTTCCATAACCTGTAGCTTTAACACCTGTCTGCTAATACTGGTGCAAGATACTACAGTGTAGTTGCCTAGTTTGGTTTGAACATGGTTTGTCTCTCTGAACTCTTGCAGAAGTTTAATCCCCAAAGTCATATGTTAATGGTATTAAGAAGGTGGAGATTTAACCTGACTACGGCATTTAGAGGTGGGCCCTTAGGAAAAGGGTTATGCTTAAAAGATCATTAATAATGGAGACTTCATGATTGAATCATTATGGCTTTATAAGTTCAGAGACCAAACACACATCATCAGCAGGCACTCTGTCTTTCATTGTGTGAAGCTTGTGCTGCCTTAGACTGCCAGCAAGGCCATCTCCAGAACGGAGCCAATGCCAAAACCATGCCCTTGAACCTCCAAGACTGTCAGCTAAATAAACCTCTTTTCTTTGTAAAATTAGCCTATCTTAGATATTTCTTTATAGTAACAAAAAGTTAATTTACTGCCCCAGGCTGAAGTATAAAGGCCTGAGCCTAAAACAAGTATTTTGCTGTAATCAGGGGGTCCTTTCTACTGATTTATGGAGAACATTTAGAAAAATACATGGTATTTATTAGAGATATGCCTATATTAGCATCTTAGGATAAGTATGAGTCCACCTGAATATGGAGATGGAGTAGACCATAGAGAACTATATACCTGAAACCAAGTTCTGACACTTTGCCAACAGTATAGTCTCAGACTGATAAGCAAGGAACCTAGGTTTAGTATGAGTCTTACCATGTATGATAAAGCTCATACCAATCAGGAAGTTGCTTTATATGCCAGAGTTATCTTATTCCCTGCTCTTCTCTGCTAACCCACTCAAATATGGTCCCAGGTTACCCCTCCCCATATAGTTTCCAGGCAAGATAGAGGTACAATTACATAACATGTGAGCTACTCTACCACAGTACAAAACAATATTATTTTAAAGTGGCTCTATATTGGTTAACACTATAATTTTAAAAATAAGTTAAAATTAAATGAAAGCACTTACCTGAACTATTAGAGTAGTACTGTTGTTGTGGGTAACCAATATTAGAGGAGAAAATGCCTAAACATAAAGGAATTAAGGTTTTTAATGTAGCCACAGGCTTCACAACAAAGTCTAGTGACACTTCAAATGATTTCTAAACATTTCAAATAAACTGCCTTTTATTTGGGGGCCAGGAGACAGGATGTTGGGGGTCAGGTAATGAAACCCTAATTTATACTCACTGCAGTTCCTTAACGGTTTCTGTTGAGTTAAAACAGTCTTTGCCTCACAAGGTACCAAGCTTGGGTACTGGTACTGCTACACAAGTAGAAATGCTCTGGCTAAAGAGAGGCTTCTCTTGACAAGGGTGTTAGGAGAGTCACACTCCCCACCATTCCTAAGGGATCTTCTCATTTCTGTCCCTATATAGTTAATTCAGCACAGCTGATGTGCAGAGAGGAAGGGCTGGAGCACCTCCTCAGTGCACTCTCCTCCTCCAAGAGCTGTCAAGACTGCAGCCGCTACAGGCTGGGTCATTTTCGTGATGTTCCTGGGTCACTTCAATTCTCAGTTCATTCTAGATCTTTTCTTCACCAGAAAACAGGCAGAGTGTCCACAGGTTATTTGCAAACTGCCCTGAATGTGTTTCGATTTTTCATATTTAATTTTCTGCTGTGTTACTTCAAAAGCACACTGATGTAAAAATATCTCAACAGGAACAGGCACACTTTTAAGGAAGAAAACTAAGAGTTTAAATGTTATAAATGTGGGGGTGGGGAAAATCCTCTTTAAAAATTAAACCAAGCACTTGCCTAAATTTTGCAACATGTCTGCCGAAAGCTTTAACAGCCACTTAATCCTGAGTGAGACATGCAGAAAAATGAAGTAAACAATGAATTCTTGAGAATCATTTTTCCTTTATCTGTACACATTACTAGATTTCTATAATTAAATTGTATTGAAAAGACAATAAAACTGGACACTTTCATAAATGAAGTTTCGGCTGCCTCCTCCAAGCTTACACAAGGAAATAAGTAATGGGCAAATGCAGGAAAATGGGAAGCTGCTTAGATGCAGCACAGTCTGTAAAAATTATCGCAAAGTAAACGCCACCTGCTAATAGAGGCGACAGCACAGTGCCGAGAAAGCTTTCTAATATCATGAATATTATATGGTTCTCAAGAATACCAGTCATCGGCACAAACTGTGAAAACAAATTCTTTATGGTTCAAGAAAAGGTAAAATAGTCTCAGAAGATTTTCCATGAATAAAAGATGAAATATTGGAACTACATGGTCTATAAAACAAGTGTTTGCAAAACAGTTTCCTTACAAGTCCAAACCAGTATAGCATTTTAAATTAAGAGGTCTAAAAATGCATTTATTTCTAAACAAAGTATTTTCACTGAGCATCAATTTAAAGGAGAAACAAAGAAAAAAAAAATAAAGGAAAAAAGCGTAAGTCAAGCTTCAAGCCATGATAGACATGGCTTGGCCATGCATGAATATACCTCTTGCCCACCAGGGACTTAGGGGTCATTCTGAATTCTTTAAAATACTAGCCTTGTCCTTCAGTCTAGGTTTGGTTTTCTTTCTTAACTCTGCCTTGCACGCTTATTCATCCATGGAATATTTTAGAAAAAATGTACTATTTTAACCTACTTTAGTTCTTTTCATTTTTGAGGAAATTAAAGTTTTCTGTAAGTAGTATTAAGGTTAAGGGTATAAATGTGTTCCAATATTTGTCCCTTAAGAAAGCCTCAGATTTGAAATCTGTGTTTGCATCCACATTGTGGAGCAATGTGAAAAACTGTACTGGCTGTTTAATCTCTTGGTTTAAAAAGGAAAGATGAGCATATTAGGGAATTCCTAAGCTGAACCACAAGAAGATTTGGAGTTGCTTCTGTTCACATTAAAATTAAGATGAACTTCCAACTTGTCATGCCAAAGGCGTTTTGTTCCGTACCTGCACATGTTTCCATAATTTTCTTCAGAGGCCCTTGAGTGTACATTAGTCCAACAAGAATCCCAGCCAGATGCCCTGAGAAGGAAGTCCTAGGAGGGAAGGAGACCCTTTGTGAGTGTTTGTTCTGCTGCTGATTAGAGACATTCTGTCTTCTCATTAGCCTAGTGCATGTCAATTAGTCACAGTCTGCAGGCTTTGTTCCACATCACATCTTTTATGCTGAGCAGCATTTAACTCAGACCAAAGAACAACATTTCCTACCTTAGGAAAAAAAAAAAGCATAATGAATAACAACTACCACATGTTTAAAATGCAACACCCCTCCTAAAGTAAAAGAAGTGGGTTGACTCTTCTAGAGCAGCAGAAGCATTTTGCCAAGACAAGCCATTATATTTCTTGTAGTTTTTCTCTCTTCCTCTCATAACAAAATATCAATGTTTTTCTCTGTTCAGAAGTAAATCTGGAACCATCTAGCCATTGGGGGATGTCTGTGTTAACACTGAGCAGATTGCTACACTTTTCTATACCACTGACTAGTAAGGCAGAAAGTAAATGAAAATCAGCAAAAAGACTGAGATGCCCACATGCACATACCCCCAAATCTGTATTCTTATGCATCTTTCAGTCACCCAGCAAAAAGAAACAAAAATTTATACTTCAAACTTGAAAGATAAGTTAAGGCAATGAATTGGTTCCATTCTTCTTGAACTAGCATCTAAGACTGGCAATCACTTATAAAATTTATTTTCAAGGTACATTTCTACCAAAAGTACAACACCCCCAGAGAACCCGTGGTACTTCATTCGTTGTGGGCTATGGGTTATTTCTGCAGACCTCACTGGTTAAACAATGTCCTAGTCAAGAGTTGAAGAAGTTACTAGAGATTCTCTTAATGACCTCCATGTTTTACCACAAAGATGAGTCCTACACAGTGAGTTCTATCTGCCACCTTTTGACACAATCACATTCCCATCTTCACCTTAAACTGGACTTTTCTTAGGTCTCACTTTTGTATCAGTTGCCAGGCCCCATCTCCTTTATATTGCTTCTCACAGCTCAGCCTTTCCACTATAGCTATGCTTTTAGCCCTCATAGGTTCCTGCCTGAACTACTTAGAAAAGCCCAGGTTAGGCACAAGGCAGGTCCTAAGTAAGTATATGTTGCGGGAGTAAAGAATAAATCAAAGAAAACCATCCAGCTTATGTCCTTGTCACCCAGCTCTTGCTCTTTAGTGTATCCCACATACTTTGCTTATCTTCCTAAGACAGAGAGGGCAAATCATGTCACTACTATCCTCTGAAAGTCACCAGCTTACTTACAGAATACCTAGCATGCACTCAAGGCCTTTGAATGTGTGGTCTCACCCATCTCTTTCCTCTAATCTCATCAGCCCCTACACCCATCTCCACACACCCCAAGCACTGATAAGTGACCACAAGACTAAGGGTAAATGCACCTGTCATAAAAATATGCCCCAGTTGAAGAGTTACTGCTGCTTCTACCTTTATTATAGTATGTATCCAGTCTACTGGGTAGCAAGGTATTTACATATTTGCTCCTCTGTCCATCTTCTGTGTTTAGATCTCACACACAAACACTCTGAGGGTAATAATGGTGTTATGTACCATTATAAGCTCAAACACACCAAAATAAATGAATAGATTTCCGCAACTTGGGGGAATGATTTCCCTTCTCCAGAAGGAGGGCAACTGAGAGTTAGAAAAGATCCTGATGTAAACTCCAAGAGTACAGTGATCCTTGTAGTTTTTGCATAGGTATTCCACACACATAAGACAGTGCCTGGCACATGATAGGCACTCAAACAGGCGTAGAATGAATGATTCAAGCGCACCAGAATCATTTCATCAAAAGCTTCAGTAGGCAAGTTAAAACCACTAGATCTTCAACTTAGAGTGCTCACTGAGACATGGTAGTCTGAGTTAAAACTGACACACTTTGTCTACTGCAATAGTGACATAGAGGGGAAAGCCCGAGATGCCATAAGAAAGACAGGTATAAGTTATTCCATTGTCTCAGAACTATGGAAAGACTCGTTGTCTCTCAGGAAAAGAATAGGCAATGAGGAAGGAACACTTGGAAAAAAAAAAAAAAGATGACCAGAAACTTCTGTAGACAGGCGAGCACTGCTGCTTGTCCCCATCAGTCAACTAAATGTCACCACTGCCCAGACAAGCCCCCATGTGCTGAAAGTCACACATATGTACACATGTGCCACAAACACAACTGTTCACTCGTGACACTGATTATTTTCATCTACCTCACAGTATATATAACTAGACATTAACAACAAAGGATTGGACATTGGTTTCCCATTTCCTGGAAAGAACACTATGAACTTGGCTCTGCTTTAGCCAAACCTGCCCCCCTAAAAAAAAAAAAAAAAAAAAGTACTGATTTTATTCTCTATTCAGGCTCAATAAAACCCTCCTCCATTAAGTTCTAAAAATGGGAAAGAAAGTGGTAGTCTGAAAGATACAAAGAGGCCAGGGTCAAATTAAAAAAATAAATAATAAAACTTCAATTTAACTGAAAAGAATTTAAAAGATCAATATTTTTAAACTTTTAAAACCAATCTTCATGGTGAATCATATACTATAAAATAACATGGGAGAAAATTTCAATTTAAAATCTCAACCTAGTAGACAATTAATCTTGAATCTCATTTACAATTTAGAGTACAATACAGTAAAATGAATTTCTTATCTGTCTAATGGGTTTTCAGAAGTTTGAGTTATGATTTAATTGTCCTAATATAATTGCAAATAACCAGGGAAGGGAGACAAGCCAGCCAGAGAACACATGGCATCATTCTAGTATTCAGCATTTTCCACAAAAGTTCCATCTCAAACCATTTAGCTATTCTTATTATTTCATTTAAGCTCTATAAAGGTGTTCCTTTTTAAAATAAGAATATAAGAAGATTATAATATTATTCAACCCAAACTGAGAATCTCATTAAACAAAAAAAGGGGTAAATTCTCCCAATGATAAAGAAAATGTAGTTTTTTTTGGGGGGTGGGTACTAGGGATTGAATCCAGGGGCACTTAACCACTAAATCACATCCCCAGCCCTTTGTTTGTATTTTAATAGAGACAGGATCTCACTGAGTTGCTTAGGGCCTCGCTAAGTTGCTGAGGCTGGCTTTGAACTTGTGATCCTCCTCCTCCGCCTCCCAAGCCGCTGGGATTACAGGTGTGTGTCACAATGCCGGGCTACAACTCATTTTAAGAAATACACTAACTTGCCATGCAGTTGATAATAACCATTTGATAGATCACCTCCTTCATGCTCTATTATTCTAGGAAACCCATGTTTTGAAAGAGGAAATGCACCTGCAGAAAATGGAAGAGTGAACTGGGAGGATGGCTCCCTTGCCACAGGATTAGGGCACTTTATCCCTGACCCCAGGGCTCTGTGAAGGGCAAAGGAAGTCCTGGGAAAGACACACTGGAGTGCTCTGATCAGTGGATGGGACTGACCTTCAAATGTAATAGCTTGAAAAACTATTAAGACCAAATTACACATGCCAAACACAAGTTTTGAAGTTTTTCTCTCAAGAGAAAATAAGCCCGTGGCTTCTCTCTGTTCTCAGTATGCATGGAAGCTGACACCCTGAGCCTGAATTACTCACAAATGAAGATTCTCAGTATAAATTATTGCAAAGAGGCAGCTATTTATGCAGACTACTTAAGTTTGTTAACATAATACCATTGCTTCTGTGATGATAAAAACTATTTTTGGGTTCAGTTTCCTTCTTGTTAAAATTCAACTTTTAGTACTTCTTTCAGTTAATGTTTAAGGAAAAAAAAAAAACTTCTGGTTTTTGTGTATCCTAACAGGTCTTTATTTTGGCATTCTACTTTTGATGATAGGTATAGGATCTACTGCTGCTAGTGATAAACATACTGTCAAATGGATAGTCATTCCTCTGTACCAATCTGTCTTTTCTTCCAGCTTTTAAGAGTTCCTCCTTATTTTGGACATACTTTCATTATACCACAATCCTTCTGGTTGTAGATTTGTTTTATTTAGCCTGCATGCAATTTGCTGTGCTTCTCAATATAAGGTCTCAAGTGTTTCTACAACTTTGGAAAATGTTCAGTCATTAATTTTTGTCCCATGGACCTCTGGATATGCACTACTTACATATTTCTTAACAACATATTTAAATATGCATTTATGAGAAAAAATTTAAAATTAAAATTATTAAAGATGGAAATACTTCAAGTCAATGTTGCTACTCCTTATTTATAAGTGATAATAATGGTGGAAAGCAATTTTGGAGTACAACTAAGATTAAGATATTATTATGGATATCAATTATACAAACTACATGCATATATCATTAATATCAACAGTGTTCTTTCCTATTAAGCCAACATAACTGATCCTCAGCCCTTTAAGAGGTTATTTGTAAGGTTAAGCTAAATGATTATGCAAAATGTGCCTGCTCTCATGTGCCACTGTTCAAGACTAAAAAACTAGAGTTATGATTGAAAGCTGTGACAAGCTATAAAGGTCCTCCTCTGTTAAACAACAAATTCTTTCTACAGTTAAAGAGGCTGTCCTCTCAAGCATGGCTCAGAAAGCAGAAAATGTATTACTCTAAGACATAATCTCATGGTATATGCAGAGCAAATGACCTCATTAAGGATGTAAATTGCTGGAGAGGCAGTGTTGGACAAGATAAGGGAACAAGGTAAGGGAAGAGTCAGTCAGTGAGAAGCAGCCTATTGTACTTTCCATAATTTCTTTCTATAAAAGCTTATAATACCAGGTTGGGGACTGGGCTGACTAGAAACTCTGGGGTTTGTTGATCTTAATAAATCCTACATTAGCAGCAATGTAACAAGATATAGTGAGAATTTTCAGGTTTTTACATATTAATGCCACTAGGGAATCTCTTGACAGGGCTGCTTTTTCCCAAGACACACTGTTCTTAACTCACCTGTTTCCTGTCCTTGATGCCTTCTTCAACCATTATCACAGCACAGTCTTTGGCAATGGAAACTTGAGAGGGACTTGCTCTATGTGCTCCCTCTTCACCATGCCCCCTAGCTCTCTCAC